GTGTGGCCTTATGACACACTTCCGGTGATGTCAGGGTGTGTGGCATATGCTAATGAGTTATGCTAATGAGTTCCCCTAGCTCTTTTTCTACGAAACGACCCCTGGGTCTGTCACAGATTGTAATGGGCACAACACAGGAAAAAGGCATATGCTGGACCTTCTTTACTGCACCAAGTGGCTTGCCAGTGATCTGATTAGGGGGTTGGAGGTTCGACCCCTGTTGTGGTCAGATCACTACCATCTAAAAGCATGGCTGAGCTTGCTGCCTCCTTCCTGCAGGGGCAGTGGACCAATTTAGATGGTTTCACCCTCAGAGACTAATGGATCATGCTGGTATCCAGATGGCTGTAGGGGACTTTGAGAGACTCCCAAGTGACTCTGTGGAGGCCCTTGTAGCTGCATGGAATGATAGGCTGACTGGGGCCATAAATAGAGTTGTTCCTCAGCGCCTTCTTCCACATACTGTGAGGCCCCCAGCTCCTTGGTTTACCAGGGAACTGGGCAACACAAAGCAGACTGGAAGACAATTACAGTGACATTGGCGGAAGACTCAAGATGAATCAGACAGAGTGCGTCATAAAGCCCATTTACAGGCCTATGAAGTGGCAGTGATGGCAGCAAAGAAGACTTTCTTCTCTGCCACCATTGAGTCAGCAGACTCTCATCCAGCACAACTGTTCAAAACAGTTCATGAACTGATAATGTCTAAGTGGAACCTTGTGGCTGATGAAAATTTGGCTCCCAGCTGTGATGTTTCTGCAAGACACTTTGCTGGCAAAATCTCCTTCATCCATTCTGACATGGAGGCCAAATGGAGGGCAAATCCAGGACCTGATGTGTCAGAAGCGCCTGCTTGTCCTTTCAACATGTACAGTTTCAGACTGATCATGCCTATGGATGCTGGCAGGGTCCTCTGAGGTGTGAGGGCTACCAATTGTGCTCTGAACCCATGCCCATCATGGCTTTTAAAATATTGCTGGGGGGGGAAGGAATATCGGAGCCATTAGGGAAATCATCAGCTCCTCCCTGATTGAGGGGGCTCTCCCATGGCCTTTGAAGGAGGCAGTTATTAGACTTCTGCTCAAAAAACCTTCATCAGCTAGTAAATTACAGGACAGTCTCCAATTTACCTTTTCTAAGGAAGGTGATAGAGTGTGTGGTGGCAGAGCAGCTCCAGGATTTACTGCAGGGCTATTTTTGGGCAGGAACGCACAGGAATGGAGTTCCAGCTGGCTCCCAAATTGGCCACACCCAGCAGGAACTTGTTAGCATAACAACAGCAGGAACTTGTTAGCATAACCCAACAGCAGGAACTCATTAGGATTGGCTACATTAGGGGTGTGTGGCCTAACATGCAAAGGAGTTCCTGCTCCAAAAAAGCCCTGTTATTTGACAACAAACAAGGTAAACAGAATAAGAAGCAAAAGGTGGGTGTGGCTGGATGACCACACTTGGATGACCTGTGTTCCCTCTAAGCTGAGTTAGTGTGAGATAGCTCACAGTTTTTTAGCCTCCAGCTCACACATTTTTGTCCTAGCTCAGGAAGGATGGCTACAGATCGAACTAATTTATGCAGTAGTCAAATTGCTCACTCACAGCTTTAATGCCAGTAGCTCACAAAAAAGAATTCTTGCTCACAAGACTCCACAGCTTAGAGGGAACATTGCTTCTGGTAACACGGGGTGTGGCCTAATATGCTAATGAGATGTGTGCTGCCATGGGTGTGGCGTAATATGCTAATGAGTTCCTGCTGTTGGGTATGGCCTGTTATGCTAATTAGTTCCTGCTGGGCTTTTTCTACAAAAAAAAGCCCCTGATTTACTGAATGACACATCTGCCCTTGATCCCATTTCAATCTGGCTTCAGGCCTGGGTGAGACAGCTTCAGTTGCACTGGTGGACGATCTTCATATAAAGTTGGACTGAGAACAATCTTCCCTGTTGATACTGTTGAACCCTTCAGTGGCCTTTGATACAGCTGACCACTCCATTCTGATCCACCAGCTTAAATATGGAGCTGATATTGAGGGCACAGCTTTTCAGTGGTTTTGCTCTTCTCTGTCTCATCAGACACCGTATCTTCACCAGAAGTGCAGAATGAACTGGGTGGAACTTGTCTTGTGGTATGCCACAGGGTTCTATTTTCTTATCCATGTTCTTTAATTAGCCCCATAGCCAGGATTTCTTTCATGGGGGGGGCCCTCCAAGTGGGGCTCTAATTAAATGAAATTAAAAGTGGCTACTACTCCCCTCTTCCTCCCCTGCTCTGCACTGGCCTGCTCAAGGAAGGAAGGAGGCTTACCCTAGAAGGCCAGGTACTTCGGGGAGGGGGAGAGAGGGAGGCATCACAGCACTATGGCCCGGCTACAGCTCACCCCATCGATGTGGAGAGTGGTGCTGGAAGCCCGGCTCTCATGTCAGTAGCAGTGGCGGAAGCTGCTTGGCCGGCAACTCCTCCTGCTGGCACCACTCAGGGCCCTAAAGCCGCCTCAGTGGCAACCACAGCCAGCATCAGCAAGTGAGTGGGCCACCAGGGCTCTCGCCATCACCCCAGGCTTCCTCCCCACCCCCCACCAACACAAGGAAGGAAGGGCTTTGAGCCGGCTACAGGGCTGGCTAGTGGCGGCCCAAGGCAGGGCAGCTTAGGAAACCCTGTAAGGTGGTGGGATGGGGGAGGGCTTTAGGGCACCTGGTGAGGCTCTGGGGTATGCGATGGGGGCTCAGCCCCCAAAGCCCCACCGCTGGCTATGACCCTGTCTTTAATATTTATGAGGTCACTGAGTGAGATTCTCGGGAGCTTTGAGGTTGGGTGTCAACAATCTGCAGATGGCTCCTAGCGCTATATTCCATTATCCAAGCCTCCAGGTGTGTCCATCCTGGTTCTGAAATAGTGTTTTGAGGCTGTGGGCAGGTGGCCACTTTGGCTGTCCTGTCTGGCACTGACCAGAGCCTGGGACTTTTCCATTGTGGCTCTGGCTGTGTGGAATGAGCTCCCTGGAGAGGTGAAGGGGGCCCCTCCTTGGAGATCTTCAAGAGAATGTTCACCAGCATTTGAGGGGCTTTCAACAGCAGGCATCTTTTAAGGGAAGGAGGGTGAGGGATTTAGGGCTTGTTATGTTATCTTTGTTTATAGCTGGGGATGTTTTAATTATTATTGTAAGTTGCCTTGAACCAAGAAGAAAGGTGGGATATAAATGTTCTAAGAAATAAATAAATATGTTACACTAGGACTACAGGCAGATATGCTCACACATATCCAGATGTTAATGGAAAAGACACTTCACCAATTGTACAATTTTAACACACACACAGAAGAAAGCAACACGGGAAAAGAAGGCCTTACTAGCCTTACCACTCACGAGGGACAAAAGGTTATTTAATTGCTGTAATGTTTAGAAGGGAGGGGGCTTTTAAGATGCTTTATTTTTAATGTATTTTTTCCACCTTCAGTTCAAGCACTATCCATATCTTACTGTGATGCAACATGGAGTCAGGGCAAAATAGCTTATTCTATCCCCCCCTTTTGTTCCCAGCCCCAAGAGAGGGTTAAGTCAGAGGACAGCAATTAGTGTTACAAATGGTTTAGAAAGAAACCAATTATACGAGGCAGGAAGACTCTCCTGGATAACAAAAGTTGTCTTTACAACCATTTACAATATCCATTGCATATGTACATACAACATTCCCTTGAGATAATCACATTTTAGCTTCTAGACATCCACATCTCCCATTTCAAGTACTGTAAGCTAAGCTTCAGAAGTAGTTACTTAGATTGTGTGTTTTTAATACAGATAGCTGAAATACACACTAATGACTTTCATCAGATATTATTAACTGCAAAACTTAGTACGGTGGCTTAGCTTTAAAGTCTATCAAAGCTCTGGACTTATATAAGATCATGTGATAAAGATTAAATGTATTCCAGTAGAAAGATAAAGTCACACTATTCCATTTCAATTCAGTAAAATGCACTTTTAAAGGAAGAAAAATTATTTCCTACCAAGTTTTTGAAGAGTGCCGTCAACTCCTTTGTAAATACAGCAAATTTTAAAAAGGCTGTTCCTAAGTCTGGATCATCCCTACAGACGCAATTGCCTCCAAATTTCTCCAAAGCTTGAGTGTACTGCTCTTCATTTTCCACATGAGCTTCAAAAAGAAGAAATATTACATTAGCTATAATTATAGCAGGGTCTTCACAAAAGGAAAAGGAACATTGTCCTAAAAATTATTGTACAAGTGGATTTGAATGCATCAATTTTTAAAATTTAGATTTTAACCATTTAATTTTTTTTAATCAAAGCTAAAAAGAAAATAGTCAAAGATTCGGAAGATTAGACATGCGCAAGAAATGTACATAGATGTCAGCTGTACAAGTCAAATTATATAAATATTTGGTTACCATCAAGAATACACAAAAAGGGGGGAAATGTATTATTGTCTCCTTCATAAATGAACTATTTAACAAAAAAAATTACCTTCCTCTATATTTCCAACACAATCAAATTAGCAAATATGCTTAATTTAGAAGTACTAAAAAGGGGGGGGGGGACTTCCTTACTCCGGTTGGTCTTTTAAAATACCATACAGCATTTTCCTGTGGGCACTTTGGCATGTATTTTGTTGTTGCTCAGTCGCACAGTCGAGTCCAACTCTCCGTGACCCCATGGACCAGATCACGCCAGGCCTTCCTGTCTTCCGCCGTCCTCTGAAGTTTGCTCGATTTCATGTTCGTTGTATCTATGACACTGTCTAACCATCTCATCCTTTGCCGTCCCCGTCTTCTTTGACCTTCAATCTTTCCCAGCATCAGGGTCTTCTCCAGTGAGTGCTCCCTTCTCATTTGGTGGCCAAAGTATTTGAGCTTCAGTTTCATTATCTGGCCTTCCAGGGAACAGTCAGGGTTGATTTCTTTGAGGATTGACTGATTTGTTCTTCTTGCAGTCCAAGGGACTCTCAAGAGTCTCCTCCAGCACCATAGTTCAAAAGAATCTATTCTTCGGCGCTCGGCCTTCCTTATAGTCCAACTCTCACAGCCATACATGACTACTGGGAATACCATTGCTTTGACCATGCGGACTTTTGTTGGCAGGGTGATGTCTCTACTTTTTATCATGCTGTTTAGGTTCGCCATCGCTTTCCTCCCAAGGAGCAGGCGTCTTTTAATTTCATGACTACTGTCACAGTCTGCAGTGATCTGGGATCCCAGGAACGTGAAGTCTGTCACCACTTCCACGACTTCCTCTTCTATTTGCCAAGGAGTGATGGGGCCGGATGCCATGATCTTAGTTTTTTTGATGTTGAGCTTCAAGCCCACTTTTGCGCTCTCCTCTTTTACTCTGAGCAAGAGGCTCTTTAGATCCTCTTCACTTTCAGCCATTAGAGTGGTATCATCTGCATATCTGAGGTTGTTGATCTTTTCCCCAGCAATCTTAATTCCCGCTTGTGATTCATCCAGGCCAGCATTTCGCATGATGTACTCTGCATATATATTAAATAAGCAAGGTGACAGTATACATCCTTGTCGTACTCCTTTTCCTATGCTGAACCAATCAGTTGTTCCGTATCCGGTTCTAACTGTCGCTTCTTGGCCCTTATACAGGTTTCTCAAGAGACATGTGAGGTGGTCTGGTACTCCCATCTCTTTAAGGACCTGCCATAGTTTGTTGTGATCCACACAGTCAAAAGCTTTAGCATAGTCAATGAAGCAGAAGTAGATATTTTTCTGGTACTCTCTTGCTTTCTCCATAATCCAGCGAATGTTGGCAATATGATCTCTCGTTCCTCTACCTCTTCGAAACCCAGCTTGTACTTCTGGTAGTTCTCTATCCACGTACTGTTGAAGCCTAGCTTGTAGGATCTTGAGCATGACCTTGCTAGCGTGTGATATGAGTGCAATTGTGCGATAGTTTGAACATTCCTTGGCATTGCCCTTCTTTGGGATTGGAATGTATACTGATCTTTTCCAATCCTGTGGCCACTGTTGCGTTTTCCAAATTTGCTGGCAAATGGAGTGCAGAACTTTAACAGCATCATCTTCTAAGACTTTGAATAGCTCAGCTGGAATACCATCACCTCCACTAGCTTTGTTGTTAGCAATGCTTTCTAAGGCCCATTTAACTTCACATTCCAGGATGTCTGGCTCGAGGTCAGTGATTATACCGTCGTGGTTGTCAAGGACATCGAGGTCTTTCTTGTATAGTTCTTCTGTGTATTCTTGCCATCTTTTCCTAATCTCTTCTGCTTCTGTTAGGTCCCTACCGTTTTTGTCCTTTATCATGGCCAGCTTTGCATGGAACGCTCCCTTGATTTCTCCAATTTTCTTGAAGAGATCTCTAGTCCTTCCCATTCTATTGTTTTCTTCTATTACTTTGCACTGTTCATTCAGGAAGGCCTCCTTATCTCTCCTTGCTGTTCTCTGGAAATCTGCGTTCAGTTGGGTAAATCTTTCCTTTTCGCCTTTGCCTTTCGCTTTCCTTCTTTCCTCTGCTATTTGTAAAGCCTCATCAGAAAGCCACTTTGCTTTCTTACATTTCTTTTTCTTTGGGATGGTGGTGATTGCTGCCTCCTGTACGATGTCACGAACCTCTGTCCATAGTTCTTCAGGCACTCTATCTATCAAATCCAGACCCTTGAATCTATTCTTCACCTCTACTGTATATTCATCAGGGATGCGATCTAGGTCAAACCTGAATGGCCTCGTGGTTTTCCCAATTTTCTTCAGTTTAAGTCTGAATTTTGCAATGAGTAGCTCATGATCTGAACCACAGTCAGCTCCAGGTCTTGTTTTTACTGACTGGATAGAGCTTCTCCATCTTTGACTGCAAATTATATAGTCAATCTGATTTCGGTGTTGCCCATCTGGTGATGTCCATGTGTAGAGTCGCCTCTTAGGTTGTTGGAAAAGGGTGTTCGCTATGACCAGTGTGTTCTCTTGACAAAACTCTGTTAACCTTTGCCCTGCTTCATTTTGCTTTCCAAGGCCAAACTTGTCTGTTATTCCAGTTACCTTTTGACTTCCTACTTTAGCATTCCAGTCCCCTATGATGATGAGGACATCATTTTTTGGTGTTAGTTCTAGGAGGTGTTGTAGGTCTTCATAGAACCGGTCCACTTCAGCCTCTTCTGCATCAGTGGTTGGGGCATAGACTTGGATTACTGTGATGTTGAATGGTTTGCCTTGGAATCGGACAGAAATCATTCTGTCATTTTTGAGATTGTATCCCAGTACTGCCTTTTGCACTCTCTTGTTGACTATAAAGGCCACACCATTTTTTCTACGAGATTCCTGGCCACAGTAGTAGATATAATGGTCTTCTGAGTTAAATTCGCCCATTCCTGTCCACTTTAGTTCACTGATTCCTAGGATATCGATGTTCAGTCTTGCCATCTCATTTTTGACCACGTCAAGCTTACCTTGATTCATAGATCTTACATTCCAGGTTCCTATGCAGTATTGTTCTTTGCAGCATCGGACTTTCCTTTCACCATCAGACACATCCACAACTGAGCGTCCTTTCGGCTTTGGCCCAGCCGCTTCACTCTTTCTGGGGTTACTTGTACTTGTCCTCTGCTCTTCCTCAGTAGCATATTGGACACCTTCCGACCTGAGGGGCTCATCTTCCGGCGTCATATCTTTTAGCCTTTTGATACTGTCCATGGGGTTTTCTTGGCAAAAATACTGGAGTGGGTTGCCATTTCCTTCTCCAGGTGGATCACGCTTGGTCTGAGTTCTCTGCTGTGGCCTGTCCGTCTTGGGTGGCCCTTCACGGCATAGCCCACAGCTTCATTGAACTGCGCAAGCCCCCTCGCCACGACAAGGCAGTGATCCATGAGGGGCCACAAGTGATGGGCCACTACATAAAAGTGCCTAACATCTGGTGACACTCTGGACAAAACTCTATGGTAGAATTAGCTTCAAACCATAGAGTTTTGCCCCCAAAACAGAGTGTAGCCCCCACGATGTCACCAATATGTGTATGTCACTTTCGGGTGATGTAGGCACGTCACTGACATCCCTGACGTGTACGTCACCTGGAGGGGGCATAGGAACGTCACGCTTCTTCCCTCCCCTCTCTTCGAGCCTCCTTGTAAGTCCACCGCCGGCTTGTGGGCCAGACTTGGCAACCCTACTTTTCTCGTAGGGCTTGGTCCCCAGGCCCCTGATCATCCTTGATCCCGGTCAAACGAGCGGGATGATCCACTGCCAAAAGGAGGCAAATTAGAGCCGGAGCAAAAAGAACCGCGGGAGTGCAATCTGACGTGCCCCCACGGCTCTATGCTCTGGCAGCTGATCAAATGTTGTGCAGCAAACCGGCAGTAGCACAGTTGTGCGCATGCGTGGGATGGGGAACGGCGCTGGCTGCGACGGGCTACCAGCGCTTCCCCGACCAGACGCCTGGAGTCCCATTCCTGTCCACTTCAGTTCACTGATTCCTAAGATATCGATGTTCAGTTTTGCCATCTCATTTTTGACCACTTCAAGCTTACCTTGATTCATAGATCTTACATTCCAGGTTCCTATGCAGTAGTGTTCTTTGCAGCATCGGACTTTCCTTTCACCATCAGACACATCCACAACTGAGCGTCCTTTCAGCTTTGGCCCAGCTGCTTCACTCTTCCTGGGGTTACTTGTACTTGCCCTCTGCTCTTCCCCAGTAGCATATTGGACACCTTTTGACCTGAGGGGCTCATCTTCCGGTGTCATATCTTTTAGCCTTTTGATACTGTCCATGGGGTTTTCTTAGCAAAGATACTGGAGTGGGTTGCCATTTCCTTCTCCAGTGGATCACACTTGGTCTGAGTTCTCTGCTGTGGCCTGTCCGTCCTGGGTGGCCCTCCACGGCATAGCCCACAGCCTCATCGAACCACACAAGCCCCCTCGCCACGTCAAGGCAGTGATCCATGAGGGATGTATACAAAGCTGTTTTTCCATGCCCTACTAACAAAAGGTTCTCCATTCATTTCAATGAGAATTGCCCTTCTAAACAGAAATGAAGGCTGTGTATGCGAGTATTCCAGTCAGCCATATGGATCAGGGGAATCGACAGACAGTATCAAAAGTGTCAGGCCACTCTTGGACAAAGCCAAACTGCATAAGTGCACACAAACATATATCCAAAAGAGAACTTAAAAAGTATCCAAAGATATACATAATGCCACACAAAAACTGTTATAACCTATACCAAATTTCTACCTACACATTTCAAAGGAAAGCTACCTATTCCTAAAGCAGAGACCATCAATGAAGCACATGTCAACTGTTGTGCTATATGCGTTTTAAAGGTGACATATTCTGTTCCTCCTACAGAACATCATCAAATGTTACCGTTTACTGACCTTTTACAGGTCGGATGATCCTACAAAGCAGGGTTTGGAAGATCTGCAAATGTGCAGTGGAACTATGGGCTCCTTTCCTCTTCCTATTATATTACTTGGTTTTCCCTAATCATAGCCTGCCGTAATGTTGTAACTGGACAAGCAAACCATGGCTTGCAAACTCATTTCCAGCCATGATCTGGAGACAATTCTAGTTAGCAGTAACCATAGTTTGCCTGGTTCAGACATCATGGCAAAAGAAATCAGGAAATGTAGGAGTAAATCAATTCTCAAGTAACAAAGAATGTGGCCTGTTCTTTATGGGATTGGAACGTACTGTCTGAACCAGGCCAGAGTCATACCAGCAGCACTTCTAGCTCAGTAATGCCTCCTCTGACTAGGAGCAAGCTTCCTGAGACCTCAGATACAGGTTCCTCCCAACACATGTTCTTTTAGCCTTAGGGTAGAGCTACAAGTTACCTCAGCAAATGCAAATCAGCCTCTGATTGCTGAGTAAGTCTGAATATAGGGGCAGGGAGGGGGCTTAACTTTTTCTCCACCTGCTGGTTCTCATCAATAAATGTCCTAATGTAATTTTCCCTGATGTGCTTATTTATTGTCCTAGAGCCCATCTGTGGGGGGAATCAAATTAAAAGTATTCTAGAGAAGGTGCACATGAAAGGGAGAATCATACTATACCTTCTCAGGTATTTCCAAATAAATGCTTGAAAAGCCTTTAAATCTAAATACATAATTTTTAGCTATACACATAGTAATCAGACTACATACATACCTAAACCAGATATATTTATTGCTTTCACAGATTTCTTCATTTTATAAAGCACAGTTCTGTCAACATCCAGTGCCTAAAAATACAGAAAGCTCAAGTCATATTTCAAGTCATATTTGAACATATGTGAACATTTCAGAGGGAAATATAATACCTATGAAGCAACATGTTATGTTGGCCAACTATATTTTAAGACTCTCTCAATATAGAATTTTCATTAGGGGTCATTATAGGAGCTAATTAGCATGCTTTATTTTACTTTCCATTTTCTTCAATAATCAGACTTATTGTCAGCTCCGCAAGACCACTTTGTTCTTATTGTTGCTATTTGCTTAATATTCCCAACATCAACAGTGTTAACCATACACACACACCCCAACGTATTGGCACTTTTCGGCTCTCCCATTGGCTGTGCTGTGCACGCCATCAGCCCATCAACTGCCACTCAAGAGTACTTGCATGCCATTGGCTGGGTGCTGCGTCCACTCCTCTCCCCCACCCACTGCTGGCTTGGCCACTTCCCTATCTGAAAAACTACCAAAACGGTTGTCTCTCCTGACAGGTTCTCCTGCTTGGCTCCTCCGTGGCTGGCTGGCTACAGAGGTGAGCTACCAGCCCTCAAACCATTCTCTTATCTTCCTGCTATGGGGCTAACTTCCCCCTCAGTGGTTGTTGCTAGACTAAGCTTGGTTCTGTTAGTAAAACGGCGGGGGAGGGGGCCCTTTCCAGGCCTACTTTGGCCTTTGTGGGGCCAGTCCTGACTAGGGTTCCCAGATCCAAGTTGGGAAATTCCTGGAGATTTTGTGGCGGAATCTATGGAAGCCAGAGTTTGGGGAGGGGAGAGGCCTCAGCTGAACAGAATATCACAGAGTCCACCCTCCAAAGCAGTTATTTTCTCCTGGGGAACCACTGCTGCCAATCTCCAGCTGAGGGCTGGAGATCACTCAGAATTAAAACTGCTCTCCAGATGGCAGAGTTCAGCTCCCCTGGAGAAAACGGTGGACTCTGTAGCTCTCCTTGCTACAGCCCCCCTTGTGCCTGGAGAGGGTGAGGTTTGAGGAGGGGTGGGACCTCAGACAGGTGCAATGCCATAGACTCCATCCTCCAAGCCAGCCATTCCCTCATGGGGAACCATTGTTGCCAATCTCCAGGTAGGACCTGGAGATCTCCCGCTGTTACAATTGATCTCCAGATGACAGAGATCAGTTTCCCTGGAGAAAATGGCTGCTTTGTAGACCCTATGGCATTATCTCCTGCTAAGTCCTTCCATGCCCCCCCTATGCTGCCCTCCCTAGGATCCACCCCTCACCCCTGACAGAGATCAGCTCCCCTGGAGAAAACGGTGGACTCTGTGGCATTATACCCTGCTAAGGTCACCACAGGAAATTGACACTGAGTGCCCAAGGCCAGGGCACCCGCCCAGAACCTCTTTCCAGAGCTTGTTATATTTATTTTCACAATGGGCCTTATTCCTAGTATTCTTATAATACTGAAGTAACATGGACCTTCCCAATAAACTCTGGGCTTCCCCACTGGTGATGTACTAAACAGCCTACTATATTAACTGCAGCATTAATATTGGGCTTTCCTTTGATTTGGTCAGTTTTTTTAAACTAAAAACATCTCGCTGTATTAATTTTCTGCTTTTTGTGATTCATCTGAGCAGATGCAGACTTCAACAATGCAATTTTTATCACCAAGAAAAACATAAAAATTATGTTTGAGAGCTTCTATCATGACAAATCAGAAAATGGCTATATTGATTGCACATCTCTGCATGAATAGTAACATTTGGCAAGCCTACCACTGTTCCAGTAAACAGATCCCAAGCACATCTACTCCATTGTATGAAGCTAAGAAGATAGAACAGCAGTTTAATATTAAAAATGTTTCTTTACTGTGTTATTAATATATTCACATTCTGCTTTGCGGGATATCAAGCGAGGATTTTGTCCAATTGATACCTCCTTGCTACAGCCCCCCTTGTGCCACAAGGCATATTGTTCAGGTGGGTCCCCTAATCCTAAGCAAAGGCTTCTCAGTGAACACAGGGAAGGGGGAGGCAAAGATCTGCTCTTCAGCTCCTTCTATTCATGGCAGTATTGATCCAAGTCACAACTAGGGCTGCCAAGCCGCGGCGGGGGATCCATGCGTCTTCACAGGATCCCTGCCGCGGGGGAAAGCGATACGCGTTGCACCACCGTCGCCAGGATGTGACGCTACGTGTCGCTCTGGCAACGGGGCTGTTTGGAGTCCCGTTGCCAGAGCGATGCGTGGCGTCACATCCTGGCGACGGCGGTGCAACGCTTATCACTGTCCCCCGCGGCAGGGATCCTGTGAAGACGCACGGATCCCCCGCCACGGCTTGGCAGCCCTAGTCACAACTGTTCTAAAACCCAAGAGGGAAGGACATTCCACAATCTTGATATCACCACTAAGAAGTCCTCTTATGCTTACACCCACCGAACATGTGAAGATAGTAATAAAACTTCATGTAGTCTGGAAGCCTGGTAACTTATCCACAGTCCATCCAAAACAATGCCATTTTTTTGTCCCAAAAGTTCAACTTGTGTATCAAGAAAATCTCGTAATATTAGGTGAAACATCTTTAAAGTGAGCAACATCTACTGCCATAGGAACTCTATTTTTGCATTTGTATAGTAAACATAAAGGGGTAAATTGCTTGGTAAAATATAAAAAATACTTCTAGCAAAACTCCAGTTGCAATCTAATAGGATTCTCATCTTTTAAATATGCATTAAAAACTCACCTAAAAAGCTAAAATGTCTACAAGAATTATCTACAAACCAGGACATCCATCAACATATACATGCATTACTGTCACAAAATTCAAAAAATGGTGAAGAAAAATATATAATTTTGTTTAGATTCAATTGCCAATTCAGTGCTCTAGGAGTTAGCCTTTAAAAAAAAAAAACATGGATGACAGTTTACACATATTCTCATATATTTACAATATATAACATCCTTGTAACTAACAACATTCATGTCAAACTGTCATAGGTGACAACATTATGCATGCTTTGTTCTTCCCAGGAAGCGTTAAGCATTTAAATTGTGCAGAAATCCTGCTGGGTTACCCATTCCCATCTGAAAGCCTGTAATACCTATTCCTATATACTATTAAGTCGTTGCAAAAACAAAACATAACAAACCTGGAGCTTCCAATATAGCTACTCAGACACGTTTGTTACATCTACCTTTGGCTGTGAGTTCCCAAGTTCACTCAGGCACCCGTTTTTAGGTCCATTCAGCAGAGATTAGCTGTCTCAAAACATCAGCTGTTTAATTGTAAGGGGACAACTCCCACAGCCAACAACTACAACTAACATACAAAACTGGAAACTGAAACAAGAGCTCCACCTAACGGGATCAAACTAAATCACACAGATATCAGGGGGAAGCAGACTGTTCCATTACATATATACAAGAAATATACAACATCTGCTTTCTTTACTTTGGTCTGGTTGGTACAACCCAAATACTACAAAAATGTGGAGGCAGAGGTTAATAGCACTTGACTTGAGGGTTGCCTTTACCACTTTACCATTGGGATTTGCCTTTACCATGAACCTATTACATAGTCCTTAAATCTAGCAGGCAACCTGACCACCCGCTCACTCTTTGTTTGCACATTTTCAGCGGGGTGTGTGTGTGATTCCTCAGGCACTGGGAGCATATCTGGCATGCTATGATCCTCTTCTCCAGGCAGGTCTAGAACATCAGCTGGGATCTCATGGGAGATTATTGGTTTCCTGCAGTTGCTATTCTGAAATTCCTGACATGGTTGCACAGGTGTTGAACTCATTTGTTTTGTACATAAATTGCTTCATGTGCTGGTTAAGAACATGAGAAGGCATCCTGACACAGACTGACGGCTATGTATTTGTCTACAAAACTATACTCTTCCCAAGAGAAATAACTACAGCTTCCTACAAAGGAAATGTGCTGGGTGAACTAGGTCTGGACACACACTCTCAGCCTAATCCACCTCACTGGGTTGTTAGTATTACTTTCTTACTGAGAAAGATTGGATCATGAGGGCATGAATACAGTGAAAAGGGGTGGGAACTCAACTGCACCCAGGAGAGCCCTGCCATAAGGAGCCCAATAAAACAGACACACGCTGTTAGCAAGGCACACAAAAACTCATACCTTGAACAAAACTTTGTTGGTCTTAAAGGTGCTTGGTATTTCTCCCATGCAATTGAGGCAGCCCAGCAAAGCAAGCTCTCCCTTGTTCCCTTCCTCTCTTCAGGGAGCAGCCTCAGCCTTTGGAGGGGAAGATGTCTCCTGTATATGATTGAGGCAGCTTGGCCAGTAAGCAAGCTCTGGTTCATTCCCTCCCTCCCCCTGGGGGGAGGAGGAGGAGCCTCAGTCATTGCTTTACCAAACTCTCTCAATCACTCAGGAGCAGCTTGCCTATCTATCTCTCCTGTGCGATTGAGAGAGTCTGGCAAAGCAAGCTGTGACATAGCAGCAGAACTGGAAAAGGAAGCAGGAAAGAGTCAGGTCCTTGTGGACTGCATTGGAACCCTCCGAGGGCCTGATCCAGCCAGCGGGCTGCATGTTTGACACCCCTGGTTTACAGTGTTCAACCCATGAGTCTATATGAGCATTCATGTTAGTCCAATACATGATTTCATGAGCCCATGCTTTTGACCTCTGCATGCCTTGATGGGGAGAGTGAAGCAAGGGCAGCTTGTGGGACCATGCATCTTGGGGAATCAATGTTTTAGGGCCAATCATGAGTAAATCATTTTCAATCCTGATTTGATCCCTAAGAAGCCAATAAGGACTAAGATCCAATTTAACTTGCTTTTGCTGACATTGCCATCCATGAAGACACAGGGCTCTGAAAGCCTGTAATTCATGACCCATTTTTGTGTTGTCTTGCAGCTGCTTTAGCAAGGAATCACAAAGTGGTTCAGCCACCAAACTGTAAATTACTTTGTCCTCATAAATTGAATCAGGTGTGGAGGGCAAAGGGAGCATAGTAGCTCTGGAAAGGGTGTGTGCCACCAGCATGTCCTTGCCCTTAGAGTAAGCGATTCA